AATTCTGTATCAGTCACTTCCGTCCTTTTGTTCTCACCAGACTTATTTTCCATTCCACTGAACGCAGGGTAAACTCGTACGAATGGTCGCCATGGGACTGGCTAAAGCACGGCTGTGGGGTAAGGCCTGGTGCCCAATCGACTGTCAACTGTCCATGTACTCTCTACTCCACCTATTCTCACTGTTCTCTGATGAGTTTTTTTTTTTAGCTTTTTTAATTCTGTTTAAAGTTGTGTTTCTTAACAGTATAATGTTTGTTATGAGTTTTGAAAATGAAATAATATAAATATTAATATTTGTACAAGGAACTGGAGAGCCGCTTCTAGACATAAAATGAGCCGCATGCGGCTCGCTAGGCGCAGGTTTCCTACCACTGGGCTAACACCGTCACATTATATTTAAATAGGATGTCCCACCATTAGGGATCCAGATATATTCAAGCAAAACGACATAAACACAGCAGTCAATGTAAGAAACATTTCTCAGTTGAATGAAATTATGTTTAAATGATGTTAGTGTCTTCATTTTTTCAAGAAAAATACAGTTTTAAGTGGATAACAAGTTATGTTTTAACATTTACATAGCTAATATTAGCAGTTAATAATTGCTATACTGTAAATAAATTGAAAATCGTGTAGTTTGTTAATTTGCCCGAATTAACTATGCTAGTGTAATTTAGCTTTTTTCTTAATACTTATCTCCCTTGAATAACTTCCTCTTTTAATATATTACAAAAAGGGTGATAATTCAATTAAATTCTAGGTTCTTATCAAATTCCTTCATCTTGTACTATTAGATGAATCGCTTACTTACATGTTAAACTCTAAAACTGGAGATAGGCCTACATTAGCTTTTTTCTATTGTAAAGGAGTAGCAGTAGCATAACAACTTTGATTAAAAGTCTTTAATATAAGGATCAAAAGCGACTGAAATATATGACTGAGCAGGCTCTAAGGCATAGGTTCACACACTTTTTCTAGTGGCGACCTCCTTCTATAAAAAGTAAGTGACCCGCGGCCCCTGTAGAATTAAAAAAAGTCGAAAGTAATGAAATTAATAAACATCAACTTACGATTTTCTAGAATAATTGACATTATTTTTTTTAATTAATTGTTTTATTGCGATGGGTGAAATAGCATGCTATTAAAATATTAACTAACCTAAAAATTCGTGTTTGGGTTTTTGTTAACGACAACCTCATGTCATTCTTAACATTTGAGTTCGTGTTTACATTTTAAAAATTCATTATGCAATCAAGTCCATCAGGCCAAAACTCACTCAAGCGATTTTGTGCTGAAATAGCACGCGTTATGCTTGATAAGTGGATGAATAATTTAGATTCAGTGAAAAAATATCGGTTTTATCATATCATGTGGATTGTACTTATTCACGCGTTATGCGTTATGCTAGATAAGTGGATGAATAATTTAGATTCAGATGAAGAAACATCGGTTTTATCATCTGATGTAGATTGTAATTATTCATCAAGCCGTGAGAGTGATATATATATATATATAGATGTAGTGGTAATACTGATAGTGATTGTGATAACAACACAGGAGTAGTATATTAGGTCCCTTTTGGAGCGAAGGCGCAGGCGCAGGGTGAGGGGAGCAGGAGCAGGAGCAGGAGCAGGAACAAAGGCTATATAGGAAAATACTCCCTGCCTGGGTGAGCCGCAGGGACAATGACATATAACAAAATACTCACCCTCCAGGCGCAGCCTGCCGCAGCCTGGGACAACGAGATATAGTAAAATACTCCCTGGGTGAGCAGGAGGTACACCGACATATAGTAAAATACTCACCCACCTGGGTGAGGGTGGGTGAGCAGGATGTACAATGAGATATAGTAAAATACTCACCCACCTGGGTGAGCAGGTGGGTGAGGGTGGGTGAGCAGGATGTACAATGAGATATAGTAAAATACTCCCCCACCCTAGGGTGGGTGAGCAGGAGGGGGAGTAGGTCAGTAGGTCACCACCGGTGACCTTGTGACGTAATCATTGACCTTGTGACGTCATCATTGACCTTGTGACGTAATCATTGACCTAGTTACGTAATTTTAATGCGTTTTTAATGAGTTTTAATGAGTTTTTAAAATTTTAATTAATTTTTTAATTAGTTACGTAATTTAATTACTTTGTTTACTTTTTAATTATTTTTATTTTGTTTTTTAAATTTTATAGTTGTTTATTTATTTTGTTTATATTGTGTAATATTTATTAACGAGTTACGTAATTTGGTTATTTGTTTACTTTTAATTATTTTTATTGAGTAGTTACGTAATTGGATTTTAATTTTTTAAATTTTTAAATTTTAAATTTTATTTTATTAACTAGTTACGTAATTTGATTATTTGTTTGAAATTCATTTTATTTCTTTGATTTTAATTACTTTGTTTAATTAATTTATTTGATATATTTCTTTTCTTTGTTGTTTAATGTTGTTTATTTGTTTGAATGTATGTATGTTTTTAAATTCTCCCCTACAACGAGCGTGTACTAGAACAGTCTTTGTATACCAACCTTTAACCAGACATGTAACACCTGTTACGTATCGACCCGCCCGCGAAGTTTTCTCACCGCTGCCCGTTTTAATGGGAATGTATTGATCGCAGCCGCTGGCCCATCACACCTAATTAAATTTCTGTTATGCTTCACCGAGTTTCCCCCGCTCGGTTGACAGCTGTGCAACAGCTGTTGTGCGACAGCTGGTGGTGTAATTAGGTTGACCAACCGGACATTACCTTGTTGGTTTTCTAGTACGCGTATGCTACACGTATATACACACACACACACACACACAATCACAGAAACTAACTTTCTTACTTTTATATTAAAAGACAAGTATGTGTTATTGTTTTGTTACTTGTCCCTGAAAGTTATGTAACTCGGTATCCTGTATAAGATATATGACTGGAAGCAAAATCAACCATTTAAAACGATGGATCCGAGATGGAAACATCCCTTTACCGCTCTGATCGCTGGGCCAACTGGGAGTGGTAAAACAGTATTTGTCAAAACCTTTTTATCCCAGGTGTCAGAGATGATGGATCCGGCACCCGAGGAAATTTATTACTGTTACGGGGAGTGGCAACCTTTGTTTGATACCATAAAGAACGTTCAGTTTGTGGAAGGTCTTCCTGACTTAGAAAATGGATCAATGGGGGATGGAAAACGTCGACGTTTAGTCGTCATCGATGATTTGATGGCGGAAACAGATGAGCGAATTACAAAATTGTTTACGAAAGGGAGTCACCATCGTAATATTAGTGTCATGTATATTGTCCAAAACCTATTCGGGAAAAATAAAGAACAAAGAACCATCAGTCTCAATTCGCATTACATAGTGTTGTTCAAGAACCCTAGAGACGGATCACAAATTACAAATTTGGCAAAACAAATGTATCCCGGTCGCGTTTCGTATGTCCAGGAAAGTTTTAAGGACGCAACATCGGCCCCTCATGGTTATTTGTTGATCGACCTTCGACAGGAAACACCGGATAATCTGAGATTACGCAGTAGTATCTTTTCTTACGAGCAGCAAGTCGTTTACGTCCCGAAATAAAAGCAACCATGTCTGAGTCGGTAAAACAACAAGGTGAGATGTTAAGGTTTTTGGCTCGGGCCAAACCACCCGCCGTGAAAGCCGTTGTCGAAAATGCTACCCCACAACTCGTAAAAACGTTATGCGAGTGCTGTCACAATGTATTAAAAGGCAACGTTCCCCTCACGCCCGGTCAGAAGAGACGTTTGCGTCGTCACAAAGTGAACTTGAGACAACTTACCAAAAAGTCATTGACCGTCAAAAGACGAAAGCAAATTTTGCAGACCGGTGGTTTCCTAGGTGCTTTACTCGGACCAGTTCTCGGTGTGCTTAAAGGTGTCTTGTGATTTTAAAGATGGCCAGGAAAATGCTTTTAATGGATCCTCGAATATTAGAGTCTATGCAACAAAAAGCATATGTACCACCCGATACACTCAACGATAGTCTACGCCTTTTGGATATGCAAATGGAACATATCTTAAATAGGGAAGATTTGTCACCACACGACAAAGTGAGACAATATCAAAAGACACTACAGCTCTACACGACGCGACTTAGCGATTATAGAAACAAGTCCCTAGGATTAGTCGATGTGAAACCATCCACCGTGAATACCCCAACGACCGAGGTTGAAAAACCACAAGAAAACATAACCGAACCTAAAAAAGAAACGATAGACATAACAGAATCTGAAACTAAAACGAAATCCGGCTCGCCTGACTCTGATATTCACCCCTCGAAGAAAACGAAGACACACGTAGAAAAAACACCACCATCGAAACGTACCAGAAGTAAGAAAACTAAAACAAGCACTACCAAATGGGACGCGTGGGAAAAAACCAAACACTAAAAAGACATTACTATGATCCTAGTATACCAGGTGCCTACGGCGGCGTGTTTAAGCACCCTGAAATTGGAACTAAGAAAATTAAAGAATGGTTAAGTCATCAGGATACCTACACGTTACATAAACCTCTTCGGCGACGCTTTCAGAGGCGCCCCACCATCACCGGTGGGACAAATCACCAGTTTCAAGCGGATCTTATAGATATGCGCATGTTACGAAAGTACAATGGTGGTGCTTCTTACCTATTGACCTGCATCGATGTGTTTAGCAAATTCGCCTGGGCGATTCCGATAAAGAAAAAAACGGGTAAGGCTCTAGCGGAGGCCGTACGTAAAATATTTACTACTAGAAAACCTATAAATTTTCAAACAGACAAAGGTAGTGAATTTGTCAACAAGACATTTTTAAAATTTCTTAAAGATGAGGGCGTTCATTTCTTTACCACTGAGAATGAAGATATTAAGGCGGCTATAGTTGAGAGATTCAATCGAACATTAAAAGAAAAAATGTGGCGGTACTTTACAAAAACAAATCGTCTTCGTTACATTGATGTCGTAGACGACTTGATCACCAACTATAACCACTCGTACCATAGGAGTATTCGTATGGCCCCTGTGAATGTTAATTTGTCTAATCAAGAAAGGGTCTGGAATACTTTATACGAACATGGGGACATTACTTATCGAAAAGTATTTAACGAAGGTGATCGTGTACGGATCAGCCAAAGTCGAAACACGTTTAAAAAGGGTTATACCCCGTCGTGGACGGAAGAACTGTTTACGGTGAGCCGCGTGAACGCGACAACGCCTGTAACATACGTCTTGAAAGATGATTCAGGTGAAGAAGTGAAAGGTTCGTTTTACAAAGAGGAGCTTCAGAAAGTGGGGGACAAAAAAGTGTACCGCGTCGAACAAATTATACAAGAAAGAAAGGGTGTCGGTGGTAAAGAGTATTTAGTCAAGTGGTTCGGTTATAACCCTTCATTCAACAGTTGGATTTCAGCTAGAGACATTTCGAAATATAAAGACTAAGGATGGAGGAAACGGTAAAAAGCCTAAGTCTGGATGACCCCGTGTTGGAAGAAACGCTCAGACCGTTCGGTGGGATCGAGGTGAGACCCAGATCCACCACGTTTTCTATCGGTTCGACCATTTCGAGTTGGTTCGGTAGACTAAGGACACGACCGGAAATCGTTTTCATCTCTCAAATGTTGGTTATATTTGTCGTCATTGCTTTTTCACTATTTAATCTGACGCGTGGAACGGTCGACGACAAAGAGGGAAAACTCTGGGTCGTGTTGTTATCCAGCTGTCTCGGATATATTTTACCTAACCCAACCATTGCAAGGACCAAAATTTTACAATGAGTTTTTATGTGACCCTGCCTAGCAATACATCACCGAATGTTTTTCCAGACAACGAGGCTGGGCATTTTTTCGTTAAATTACCACAGACTATCGATGTGAGTTTACACTACGAAGTTGGTCTGGTCGAGATTCAAATGCCGAACGCGTTTTGTATGCTTAGAGAACATCAAATTTGGCTCCAGTATCATTCCAGTACAGAAGGTGAAGACGTTAACCTTTTCATATATGGAGTACGACAGACCAAAAATAATTACATAGACCCGCTTGTTAACGCTATTAAAAAACTAATAAAAAGAGATATTGATGAACAAAAAGTGGAAGTTATAATTTCAAACTGTAACAAGGGATTTAAGAAAGTTGTCGTAAAAGTAATTGCGGCTGGAATAGAAAGTACCATCCGTGACAGGTTGACAGGCTATTTACATATTCCTGGTAGAGTTAGGGAGAAACATCTCCCTGAAGACGAAGTAAAAACGGTATTCGTCTATTGTGACCTCGTAAAAACGAGACCTGTTGGTGATGTCATGGTCCCTTTGCTTCGAACCGTACCGATCGTTGAGAAGAACCCAAGTTCCGTTTTTCGTATTTACGACAAACCACACTACATCCCCCTGAACCGCTTTTCATTCGACACTGTGGAAATACTTTTATGCGATGACTTGGGACAAACGCTCTCATTCACAAGTGGAACGTCGGTGTTGACACTCCATTTTAGAACACGTAAACATTTCGATCTCGAATAACTCACACCATGGTGAAACACACACTTTTACATCGAAACCCTAAATTGTACGAGGATTTTTACTGTAACCAGTACGGTGATGGTTTACCCGTTTTTATCGGTGGACGAAATCAGAGAGGACACGGTATTGGTAGTTTCTTTAGTGGTCTAGGTCGAATGGTCCTCCCTTGGATAAAGACGGGAGGTAAGGCTTTACTCAGAGAAGGTGTTAGTACCGGGTTGCAAGTTGCAAACGACGCATTAGCGGGAAGAGACGTTGGAGAATCGTTTAAAGAACACGCCAAGGAAGCCGGACATCGTTTATTGCAAGGCGCCGTTGATCACCTAGGACAAAACCAATCAGGAAGCGGGTTGAGAAGAAAGCGGGGGTTCTCGAGACCACCTGGTGAACCCTTCGAACAACAGATAAAACTAACACGCAGACCAAACCACAAACATTCGAAGACGTGTGTTAAGAAGAAGCATCCCAAGTATTCAGATATATTTGCTTAACCATGGCTCTTATTCACCCGAGTTCCTGTGAGTGCTTACATTCTGGATTGGATTTATTTAGTACACCCCCGACACAAACTGCCGTCGAGGAGGGTCAATTTGTTGAAATACATCCCCTGGCGTCCTTGGCACAAGGTGCACCTATAGAATTTGCCATTTCTGGCAACAGTGAAGACTATCTCGATTTGTTTAATACTTATTTACACGTGCGCGCTAAAGTAACCTTAGCGAATGGTGATTCAATACCAGCGGATGTTGATGTCGCACCCGTCAATTATTTTTTGCACAGTTTATTTTCACAAGTGGATATTTCTCTAAACGATACGCTAATTACTGCTAGTGAGAACACCTATCCGTATCGCGCCTATCTGGAAGCTACGTTAAATCACGGGGAAGAGGCCAAGAATGGGTCTCTATCGGCCGCTCTTTATGCGAGGGACTTAGCCTGTTATTTCGAGGAATTCAAAGATGACAATAATGAAGGGTATAGGATTCGCCGCACCACCGCTGCTGAAAGTCATGAGATCGATATGATGGGACGTATACACTCTGACATTTTCGCTCAAGATCGGTATATGCTGAATGGTGTTGACATTAAAATTAAACTTACACCCGCAAAAGACAGTTTCACTCTCTTGACAGCAGAACCAAACAAGGGATATAAAGCGGTTATAACGTACGCAACATTGGTGGTTAGAAAAGCCAGACTTAACCCCGCCATTTCTATCGCACACGAAAAGGCTTTAACGACAACAAATGCAAAATACCCTTTTAAACGCGTTGTAATAAAAACCTTTGCTATACCGAAAGGTATGTTAAGTCACAACCAAGACAATTTGTATATGAGTCAAACACCGACCCGTTTAGTGATCGGTCTAGTCGCCTCTACCGCCTTTAATGGAAGTTACACGAAAAACCCCTTCAATTTTCAACATTTTCACTTGACGTATTTAAATGTAAGCGTTGATGGTCGCTCGTTATCGGGAAAACCACTGGTCATGGACTTTGATAAGAAACAAGCCATTAGAGCGTTTTTCAATAGTAACCTCGCTCTTGGTATGGTTGGAAAAGATGCTGGTAATGGGATAGATTATAAAAACTTTAAGAACGGGTATACCCTGTTTGCTTTTGATTTAAGCCCTAGTCTTTTGGATGGTGAACAATTTGAATTGGCTAAATCCGGACCTGTTTCTATTGAACTTAAATTTTCACAAGTTACAGCTGACCCGATTCAAGTTATTGTGTATGCTGAACTTGATTCGGTGTTAGAAATTTCGAAAACGAGGCAAGTGCTTACAGATTACACCGCCTAACTTGGCCTATAAAAGAAAATGAACACAAGAGAACTACAAAGTATACTGGCCGCGGACTTATTTGTGCAACGCACAACTCTCTTTGCCGTTTTAGCGTGCGATCAGTTACCCGCGCGTCTCGATAGAACGAAGCAAGCGGCATTCATTATCAATCTAGATTCATCCTCGGAGGCAGGGAGTCATTGGGTTGGTCTATTTTTCAACGGACTATCGCAATTTACTTATTTCGATAGTTTTGGCTTACCACCTCGGGAGCGGGCCATTTTGTCTTTTATAAAAAATAATTCAAACAGACCACTCGTTTACAATTCAAGAGTGTTACAAGATATTCTAACCAACAGTTGTGGGCTATATGCAGCCTATTTTGTTTTGAAGAAAGCTCGAGGTGCAAATTTAAAAGTTATATTACAACCCTTTTCGGCGTCAGCGAATCGTCAATATATTAACGATCGTATTATATTACGTTTAACACTTCAAATTATTGGAACTAATTATAAAAGATTATTTCAAGATGTCTAATGAAGATTGGATACTTGTGGCCAGAGGTAACAATAAAGTGACGGAAATACGAACGATGAATCACACCGGATTTAAATTGGCGATTGTCAGCCAATTCATGAACAAAAACACTTTAAATCTTAGAGAGCTTATAGATGGGACCGATCTTAATTTTCCTACAAATTCTGGTGTTAGTATGAGTCGCGTCTGCTTTGAGCGCCTATTAAGTTTACAGGATGAAATTTTAAAAGCCTTTGATGAATTGGAAAAACGTTAATAAACAAATAAAATATAAGAAGACTTTTGTTCTAATTTAGTGTGATTGTGTGTGTGTGTGTGTGTGTGTGTGTATATACGTGTAGCATACGCGTACTAGAAAACCAACAAGGTAATGTCCGGTTGGTCAACCTAATTACACCACCAGCTGTCGCACAACAGCTGTTGCACAGCTGTCAACCGAGCGGGGGAAACTCGGTGAAGCATAACAGAAATTTAATTAGGTGTGATGGGCCAGCGGCTGCGATCAATACATTCCCATTAAAACGGGCAGCGGTGAGAAAACTTCGCGGGCGGGTCGATACGTAACAGGTGTTACATGTCTGGTTAAAGGTTGGTATACAAAGACTGTTCTAGTACACGCTCGTTGTAGGGGAGAATTTAAAAACATACATACATTCAAACAAATAAACAACATTAAACAACAAAGAAAAGATATATATCAAATAAATTAATTAAACAAAGTAATTAAAATCAAAGAAATAAAATGAATTTCAAACAAATAATCAAATTACGTAACTAGTTAATAAAATAAAATTTAAAATTTAAAAATTTAAAAAATTAAAATCCAATTACGTAACTACTCAATAAAAATAATTAAAAGTAAACAAATAACCAAATTACGTAACTCGTTAATAAATATTACACAATATAAACAAAATAAATAAACAACTATAAAATTTAAAAAACAAAATAAAAATAATTAAAAAGTAAACAAAGTAATTAAATTACGTAACTAATTAAAAAATTAATTAAAATTTTAAAAACTCATTAAAACTCATTAAAAAACGCATTAAAATTACGTAACTAGGTCAATGATTACGTCACAAGGTCAATGATGACGTCACAAGGTCAATGATTACGTCACAAGGTCACCGGTGGTGACCTACTGACCTACTCCCCCTCCTGCTCACCCACCCTAGGGTGGGTGAGTATTTTACTATATCTCATTGTACATCCTGCTCACCCACCCTCACCCACCTGCTCACCCAGGTGGGTGAGTATTTTACTATATCTCATTGTACATCCTGCTCACCCACCCTCACCCAGGTGGGTGAGTATTTTACTATATGTCGGTGTACCTCCTGCTCACCCAGGGAGTATTTTACTATATCTCGTTGTCCCAGGCTGCGGCAGGCTGCGCCTGGAGGGTGAGTATTTTGTTATATGTCATTGTCCCTGCGGCTCACCCAGGCAGGGAGTATTTTCCTATATAGCCTTTGTTCCTGCTCCTGCTCCTGCTCCTGCTCCCCTCACCCTGCGCCTGCGCCTTCGCTCCAAAAGGGACCTAATATACTACTCACAGGTGGGTGTGGCAAATCCTATGCAGGGAAGGGTAAGGGACCCATGCCTAAAACAAGGAAAGCTGGTACTAACAATGCTAGTACTAATACTAATGTAACAGGACAGGATGAGCCTGTAACTGTCAGTGGTCCTGCTACTACTACTAGTAGCGCTAATTTTATTTGGAAAGAAATGCACAAAGGTACAACACAAAACAACTTTCGTTTTGTTCGCCATGAATCCCATGGCATAAACTCGGATAAATAACATCCGAGTCAACTGAGGTAGAATGCCTGCTCACTTTATTGAATGACCAGATCATTGAGCTATTATTAGTAAAAATCAATGAGTATGCTAGGGGGGAATTAGTATTTCCTCAGCTTAGGCATTCAGTCTACTATACATTTCAACCAGTAACGAGACCAGGCCTTCAATGTTATCGTCGGGACAAGAAGATGGTGCATTTTGTTATTTAGATTTTAACGAAGTTTTTATATAAGCTCCGCTTCTACGATCCTTCTTTAAGCTTTGATATTTTAGCATGTATGACAAAAATATATTAAATTCTAAATTTAGACAAAGTTGTTGATAAAAAAACAAATTGTATTAAGCAATAATACTTATTATTATACAATATACTAAAGAAATGATTAATGTGTTTTCATTTGAAGATTACAATTAAATGTGTAGACTGTTACAGATCTATATTAATAGTGTAATTATTTCCCCAAGAATCACAACAAAACCAACACAATGAGCTGAGTCCACTGATGTATTAACCTCCCCCCCCCCCCCTCTCCACAGCATTTTGGATCTAAAAAAAATAGTAATTAACGCAAGGTAATTCGATAATTAGATTGATTAACCCAAAAGCAAATATCTATTCAACAATAAGACGCATTTATAATACATGTAGATTGGAATCCATAATAAATCGTTAACTATATTTGCTTTTTTTTTCAAATTAATCATTACATTACACTAGAAAAAAAATTACATCGTACATCTATAAAATAAGGTATTCAACATTTAAGAGTTAAATTTAGTTCTGGAACTCACATTAGGAGGTCTGCAGAGTGCCCAACACAAAAAAAGAGATAACGGTTTTCTTGAGAATCAAAATTTAATAACATTGATATGTGGAGGATCCAATTAAACTAATTACCACGCTGGTAGAAATCGTAATACACTACATATGACTTTTTTTTTTAAACCTGATTGATTCTGCTGACCAATGTAAAAATCGTTATGTATGAAACATACACAATATATAACTAAAATAGCTATAATGCTGGCTTTTAAAGCAATTATTGTATTATGTATGCATTGAAAACAAAACCAATATTGAACCTTCATTCATTTAATTATGGATCCAATATTTTCTCTAATATGCTCTCTCTATCTATTCTTGTTTTAATTTAATGCATCCACACTGATATTAAATGATGTACACGTATGTGTCCTTAAGAAGTTGCCCTTTTGAACCTGTGGGCTCATGATGCAGGTGAAGTGGAGTTTACCAGTTTAGTCACCTGGGCATTAGGAAATAGCTTAGTCTCTACTAGGCCCTGACGCCTCTGTTTTCCAGAACGTGAGTCAGGTGACACTCACTGCCAGGTGGAATATTGGACTTTAAAGACTCGCTGGATCAGAACTCGAGAGTTTTGGTCTAGCTAGACCAGGGGTCGTCAACATTTTGAAGCGGAAGAGCCAAAAGTTACAATTTACATAAGTTCCCAGTTTTTAAAGAGCCACTAAATTTTTATTTCAATATTTTGGCATTTGATTAGGATTAGATCTATACTTTTGATTTGAAATAAATAGCTTTAAATATGAAATAATATTTATACTTAAAAAGCACACTAATATTTCGCACAAAACATATTAAAGTATTATACCTAGCTATTATACCTAATAAAATTAGTAATCTAATAATATACTAATACGACTAGCTCAATCCGCTTTTGAAGCCAATAACTTTTTTTTTTCTTTACGGACACCACCGGCTCAGGCGGTGTCTCCTATAGCCCGGCATGGTCAACTCCGACTACTGGCTCGGATATCGGTCACTTCTGTCTTCGGTTCTCACCGGGCTTATCTTCCTGCCCACTGAACGCTTGGTAAACTCGTACCCCACCGGCTCAACCGTAGGAAGCTAATAACTTTTTAAAAAACACGTCACTCATGTCAAATAAATGTATACTGACCGATAGAGAAATGCAATCTAAATAAGAATAATATTCCTCATTCAACGATATTCGAAAAAGTCGGCAGTGGCAAGTATGGAACCTTCGCCCCGGGGCTGGCTACAGCACGGTTGTGGGGCTGGGTCTGGTGCCCAAGCGACTGTCAGCTGTCCGTATACTCTCTACCTCGCCTACTCTCATTGTTTCTGATGAGTGTTTTTATCCTGTTTAAAGTTGTTTTTTTCTTCTCTATAATAATTTTAATGAGTTTTAAAAATATTGTAAAATATTTATTAATATTTGTGCATGGAACTGGAGAGCCGCATCTTGACATCAAAAGAGCCGCATGCGGCTCGCGAGCTGCAGGTTGCCGACCCCTGAGCTAGACCAAAAGATCGGTCTGTGACTTAAATAATGTCCCTTAAATTAAGGGAGCCAAAATTGTTAGATTAAATCAATTACAATCTACCTCAATTATTTGGAGAAATAATTTTAAGCTGTTTTAATAGGACTTAAAATAAAGCTATAGTTTTTGAATAGTTATTTTTAGTAATTTTTAATGTAATACTACAATTTTTATACATTTTGATCATTTACATAAATGTTAAATTTAATACTATGTATAACTTAATACGCGTTTTATTATCTTTTTTGCACATCTTTGTTATTTTGTATTTGTTATGTTAGCAATTTGATTCTAAGTTACATCCCTTGATTAGTTTCCAAATGGGAAATAATCCATAAGAGATTCATCCT